ATGAATGACAGCACTAGAACTTTGGATTCAGAAAGACCTGGGTCTCAATGAAGAAGCAACCAACTAAATCCAGAGTGTGAGACATCCCCCTGGGCAAATGATCTTGGCTTTCCATGCAACCAGCAAGGGAGAAGAGCACATTGTATGTGTGTATGTCTGCATATTTGAGACTATGAAGGGGTACAAGAAAAAACATGAAATTTTTTTCTAAACTATATTTTAAATTTTTTTTACAAAACAACCTTATCACCTTCAAAGTGCTCTCCATTACACTTAATACGTTTGTCAAATCTGTGATTCCATTCTTGGACACATTTTTCAAACTCCTCTGTTTGGATGGCTGACCGCACCTCCCTCGTTTTTCTTCACCTCTTCTACATCATCAAATCACTGTCCTTTCATGTCCCTCTCCATTGGCAGAAAGACAAAGAAGCAGCATGGAGCCAAGTCAGCTGAGTCAGGTGCGTGGGGCAAGAGGGGCATACTGTTTTTGCCAAAAACTGGCACACTGAAATGATTGCATGAGCAGGTGCACTGTGGTGGCAAAACCAGTCCCCCATCTGCCACAAATCAGGCCATTTTTTATTACAACTGTTACGCTTTTTTTTCAGAACCTCTAAATAGAAAACTTGATTAACAGTCTGACCTGTGGAACGAACCCCAAATGCACTATGAGTCGACATTTCTGTCTGTTCAGGAAGTTGACAGACGTCCAGAACCAGGTTTGTCATAAATCAACATTTTATCTTTTTTGAAACAAGAAAACCACTTGGACACTTGAGTTCTGTCCTTGTAAGGTGTGTTCAACTTCACAACAGTTTCTGCTGCATTCTTCTGAAGCAGGAAACAAAATTTCACAGCTGTACACTGTTCTCTTAACTCGGCCATCTCACACACACACGTTCAGGTGAAATTGCTTTCACGAAAAAATTCACTGTGACCAGAGAGAACCTTCCCAAGTGACGCCACTGGGTGTGCTAAATGCTCACCTAGTGGGAAAAATGCACACTACAAAACTGTCTCCGTTTTTTGGGGGGGTTCCTCCTTGTACAATAATAAGCAAATGATATGTTTCAAAGTAGATACTGGTTTGAATACACTAATAGGAAAAAGATACCTTGAAACAATGGGAAACATTTAAAAATAGACCAAATGTTAAATGATATTTTTTAAATGTTAAGTTTGTGAGGCTTGGATGTGCTAATGATATGGTGATTATGTAAATTTAAAAACCAGATAATAGTTTAAATAGTAAAGAACATCTCTGCCTTGAGCACTGTCCTCTTTTAAGCTCTATCTACATGGGACCAAGTTGACTACAGTCACTGCAAAGAGAGCAAACTTCGGGGCATTAAGTAAGTTTACGTTAAGGTGGAGGAACAACTCAGAACAGGAAGGTAAAAATGGCTGCATCTCTCAGAGAATGTATCTGTGTCACTCTATCTGTAGAAAGAGTTGAATTGGCTTATGCTTTGTTGCATATATTCAACTACAACAATAATAAGACTCATTAGAAGATATTAGAAGAATACGATTTTCACTTTCTTCTTTTTAAGACAATAAAAGTTTAGGTTGTTGAATCTCAGAAAAGGTTTTAGGGTATTTTTCAGGATTTAGTTCATCTGTTATTTAATCTGGTGCTCTCTTTCACACATACCACCACCACCACCACCACCACCACCAGGCAGAATATTGTGTTATTTGTCTTACTTATGTACCTGAAACTACCTCTGAATGTAGTTCTTAATTGCTCTCTGAAGTTGGCACCCTGGCCCTGGCCCCAGCTCCACATTCCCATGGCACTTTGTATACACCTCACCTGTAGTCCTTAATCTACTGCCTTGGCCTAACAGATTGTGCACTCCTCAAAAATGAGGCTGTTCCCTTCATCCCCCAAATGTAGTACAGTTCTTGGTAGAGTGTAAGCACTTTTTACATGTTGTTTGAAGGAATGAACATTTAAATGCACTGTTAACATGACGGTCTCTCCCATCAAACTGAGCACCTCAAGGATGGGGAATATATATATTTTTCTTTTTTTTAAAAAAACATTTTATTAGGGGCTCATACAACTGTTATCGCAATCCATACACACAATTGTGTAA